GATCTAGTTCTGCATCTATGACCTCGCCCTCTCTGCCATGTTCTAGTTGCGGCTGAGGTTCCTGATGGGAACTGGAGCGGGTATACCTGTCAAGTGACTCGCACAAGCGATCCAACACCCACTCCGCTTCAGTGATGTCCGCCAGCAGCGGAGAATCTTCACTCAGCCAGTCCCATGTCATCCGACTGTCATCTTCTCTCTGGGTAAACTGAATCAGCTGGGTAAAGAGCTGCCATTCTTCGTACGAGTACCGCTTTTGAGGGGAGAAGCGGAGGTCATGCGCTATCGACTTGATAGTTTGGGAGAGCAGCGAGGGGAGGTCTTCTTCCTGTTCGTCAGGACCCTCAGCTGGCCTAACTAGGTTTCCTGGCTGTTCGGTGCCCGCGCCAGCTTCACATGAGGGCTCTTCCGCGTCCTGTCTTTTACCGACAAATTTCTGCAACCAAGGATGTTTCTGAATGTACTTGTCTAGCACTCCACGCTTCGAGGTCGGCATGATGGTCCAGTCAGCTACCTTGAATGCACCACGGTTGACGGCTCTGACGACGGTGGACGACATCTCTTGGAAGAGAACGGTGACGATTGGTACGGCAATGAGCGACCAGACGATGAAGAACGGCTTGCCGATGTTGGACTTGGGAGCAATGTCGCCATATCTGTCGCAGCGGTTAGTCTTGGTCACTAGGGGGGATGCAAACAAGAACCAACCCAATGGTGAGTAGCCACACCCAGCAAAAGTACAGCGAGTCAAAGTAGGAAAGACTCGATATTCGCGCTTCGGTAAGCATGAAGACGACGGCACCGAACCCCCAAAGAATGGAGAAGGCTAGAAAGGCCATGGCGAGGGCCCAGTACCTGCCGCCCTGTTAGTGATCAAGACGATTAATGGGAGGTGACAGGAGAGAAGCCATCTCACTGCTTCCATCGCTTGGTCTCGTCTTGGATTTGCCTCATGGTTTCGAACCGATCCCTGTCTTCCTTCAAAAGCAATAGTTTCTGTCTTCTTTCCTTTCTCTTGTCCTGTGAGGAAGATTTCTCGCCGCTGCCATTTCTCGTAATCTCCTCAGTCCCCTTTGCCTTATCATTACCAAAGTCAAATTTCAGCATCTTCTGCCTTGCCTCCTCTTCCTTGGTTCTGCTCTGCCTCTCATTTTCTCCCCCTTTTGCGTCAGCAGCCCTCTCGACTAGTTGGCCCTCGCTTGCACCACCGATCCCAGCCCGAGAATGCCGCCGAAAAGTGACCAACCTGCCCGCAACCACCAACCGACCATACTGCGCCAACGATGACCTCCTCGCACTGAACGCCCTCCTCCCTTCACTTTGCCTCCTTGCGTTGCTCACCTTTCTTTTGGGCGGCAAACCCAACTTCTCTCTCAGCTCCTTCTCATTCGTCACTGACATGCCCACCGTCGACCGTCTCGAGTGTTCCTGATGTCGCTTGATGATCTTGTCGGCCGAGATGTTGGCGGCGAATCGGCTGATGCTGGAGATGACCAGACCGAGAAACAAAAGACCGAGAGTTTGGAAAGGCACGAGGAATGCTCTGCCGGCGGTCGTAGCGGGTGCGAAGTCGCCGAAGCCTATGGTCAGGATCGTCTTTTTATGGTCAGCCTTTGACAGAAGTACATGGGAGAAGGTTAGGAAGGACTCACAACATCACAATAATACAATCCATCACAGAAACCCCCAGGCCAGTCTTCCAACCACGCAAACACCGCCCCTCCGCCCGCCAACCAAACGAAAAACAGCATGGTTTGCAAGATCAGTGTCCTTTGGTCGTCGTCGAGGTCGAACTGTTGTGGGTAATACCCCCTCAGATAACCAAGCATGTTGATCGCCAACAAAAAAGCCCCCAGAGCATAGAAGAAGGCTGAGAAGATGGCATGATAATACCCCTGGGAGTATATCTCGGGCCAAACCGGCGGCGAATGAATATGCATCGCCAGGAGGATCGCAACCAACTGCTTCCGTTAGCCACCTCGCTACCTCAACTCAGGGAAACGGACAGCTCACAATACCCGAACTAAACATCCACGCCCCCACTGCCGCCGGTATAGCAACCACGTACCTCACCCTCCCTGTGAAATTCAGCAACAAGAAGAAGTTGCCCGCAAATCCGCAAATCAGCGAAACAATGTTTGCGTTGATCTCCCACTTTGGGTCCGGGATGCCAATTCCATTGTCATCTTTGCCATCGGGCAGGATACCGGAGTTGGGAAGAGTCACTTTCCAGGTGGTTACCAGTGAAGCGATGGACAGAACGTGGGAGAGCGGACCGATGGTGGCGACGAGGAGGGGGATGGCGGTCGAAGCAGGCCACCATTTCCTGTATGTCGGTAGAAGGGTGTCAGTTGGGTCGGTGTGGAAGGTGAATAGGGTGGGAGAGGGAAAAGGGAGAGTGGATCACTGAGGCAGATTGTCATTTCGACCGCGCAATTTGATGTGCCCGTTGAAGAGGGTGCGGATTTCATTGTTTGGCGGTGGCTCTTTGGAGGAAGAGGTCGGGTCGGGCCGTGGCCTTGATCGGACGGGGTCGGAGAAGGTGAAGATTGATGTTGGGCGATCGGAGTTAAGACGACCTCCTCTACCAGCATCGGGCGGGAATGACTGTTGCCTCATGCTTGACTCGTCCGCAGTTGTGCGACCTCTAGGGACCAATGTAAGGAGGGAATGTAGCGAAGACACTCAAAGTAGACTGGGCTTTCGTTGTTGGGAGAAGAAGACTAGGGAGCCAGAGAAGGAAATGGAACGAGATATACCTCCAGCTTGTACTTCATCCCGTCGGAATGCCCGACAGGTTAGCACTGACTGAGATGATGATGGCGGTGACTTGCCATGATTATCATCAACAACGGTCTCAGCCCTAGAGGGACACTCGACATTTGGTACGCCAATTGTGATCGCAAAAAGAAAAAAGAAGCTGTGTCGCCACCCGGGACTTTCTGGCATGGACGGTGTTTGTGGGACTTTGCCCTCTTGCCATACCGACGTTGGCAAGTACCGTGTCTTTGATAGTTCCTTCCTCTCTACTTTTCGCCCATCTAACCTCGGCTTGGAGGTCCGCATATTTCCGTTGCGAACCGAGTCGACCAGCACCCGGCCTTCGGGCTGTCTTCTTTCCCTACTCCAGTTCCCGTTCAGTTCATTTATGCAGGTGTTTCGACATGTCGTCCTACTGGCTTTACCGAAAATCATTCACACGAAAAATGCCAGGTGCAAACTGTGAATATCTCCCACTGCCTCTTGTCAAAATCTAGATTAATAATGCTGAAGAATGACAGAATGATCAAGCAACTACAATTCAATGCAATATGGACAGAATATGTCAGCAACATGTCCGCGCAGGCACCGGTGCCAAGTATCAACACCACATCGCTGCACATGAAGGCGGCCGAAACCAGCTTCCAACTACCACTTGCATCTGCCAGCTAATTACCTCTGGACAATGAAGCAGCAAGATCAAAATAGCCAACTTGATTCATATCGTGCTTTGAGCCTCAACTTTTTGGTTCTCGCTCTCTTTTTCTTCTCCTTTCATCCAATGACCAATTCTATGCCCCTCTCAAACGACAACTCCGAATGTCTTCACCAGCCGGAGATGCGGGATTCTACTATGACCCCTCGGGGAACATCCGGCCACGTCGTTACTTTGACCACGAGGGCCGTCCCTTGCCCGGAAACACCACAGACACATCATATGCTCCCATCCCAGGCTCGTCACCATTAAATTCTACCATTCCTATCAGAACCAAGCCAAAACAGGAGCACGACCCAAGTTCGGGGAGAAAAAATGAACACCTCCCTCTGCGTTTGAGTTTCCTTCGGGAAAAGGCAAAAAGGGCATGTACCCACGCCATCAAGCTGGCCAAATTAGTAGCGCACCTACAAAAGACAATCGATATGCGTTCGGGGAGTCATTCAACTACCAAAACAGAGTCGTCTACGAAGGACCATCAACGTTGTGGGGATTCTACAACACCTCCTCTAGACCCGCGATGCCGAGCCCGGAGTTTGAGAGTGACCTCGCAACCGATATGGAAGTCATTACCTCCTCCAGATCTTCCAGAGTTTCCAACAGTGTCTGCGTAATTCACAGCCTACCACCAACGTGACTTTTGGCAGACTATAGGACGCGAGGTTCTTGGACGACTGGACCGGCCTTTCTTGAACGGACAGTGACTGCAAAACATTTGCTGGACAGGCACTCCTTCGATTCCATGCCTATAGGATCAGAGCCGTGACATCGCAAAAGGTCGTTTGCAACGCAGCCCAGTCCATACTCAGACCCCAAGGATTGCCGTGTGGGTGACCGTGGGCGACAGATGTAGAGACCATGGAGGAAAAGGGTCTTGTCTTCCATCCGCTTTTGTGAAAAGAGGCGAAACTCCACCAGGACACGAATTGCGCCCGTTCTACAGTTTGCCGCTGCGGTGACCAGGGTGACTTACGACGTGCGAACACAGGGGCAGCATTGTAGGGGAGTAGGTAGGGAGCTCGGAAGAATGGGTACCGGGGGCGGACTGGACTTGCAGACTCAACTTTGACCAAGACCACCAGCATCCAATTCCAGGAGTACATATACAACGAGACTCGGTGACAACGGAAACAGCGACGACGGCAACAGCGCAAAGATAGGGAATCAAACAGATAAATGAACTGCCAGATGCACAGGGGGGTACATATCTCTATATAGTATGGTAGCTGTACAAATATTGTAGCGACATGCGTATCCCGATCACGATGCTTTTGAATGGAGGAGCACAAGGGAAGGACTTTTGAGGTTGGACACTTCGAGATGGGAAATGGGAGGACACGGGAATCGGTTTGGTCAAGCTGAAGGGGTGAAGTTGGGTGCCCCTGGGACTATGAGTCTGAAAGCGTCGTTGTCACAAAGCGAATTGTCTACTCCCAGGTACTAATCCCATATTACACTAAAACATCTTCAAGAAGTGGATAGAACAAAGTAGTAGGTTTTTCGTAATCTCTTGTTCATAAATCATCACCTTCTCCTCTAACCGTTTACTCCAGCTTGCTCGTTAATAAATGCTGCCATCATCCGTCCCTCTATAGTCATACAAATGCTAAACTTAATCTTTCATCCACGCATCATACATCATCATAGACGTCTTCTTCCATCTGATTCCTCATGACGCCTCACTGCGTCTTCACCTTCTCCTTCTCCTTCACCTCCTTGGTATCATCCGCCTTAGCCTCCGCCCCAATCTCCCTGTTCTTCTTCTCCACCGCCGTCTCAACCTGCCAGATCGCTCTCTCCAACTCCACTTCCAGCTCAGGCACCTCCAGCAACTGGACCATCTTCTTTGCATTCTCCTGAGACAAAAGCAAGACTTCACCGTCTTCTACTTCCCTTTGTTCCAGGACATGACCCATGTTCACCCCATCCGTCTTTTCCGTGGTGGTGTTTCCACCATTGACCGCCTGGACTACCTTGGCCGGATCTGGGTGCTTGATCGTTTCCGCTTCGGGCCCCGTGGTCGGCTCAGAAGTAAAAGGGAGCGGGAAGCGCTGGGTGGAGTAGATCTCGTCGAGGATGGGCGAGGGGTGGTAGGATAACAGGCGGGAGGCGTGTTGGAGGAGGAAAGAAATGTGTTTGCCGCCGGCAAGGGCGCGGTGATGGGACCAGGCGCGGTAGACGAGGTAGAAGAAGGGGAGGTTGGGGACTCTGTTGTTGAAAAACCTGTTAGTACTTGTAATGGATAGAAAAAAGAGGGAAAGGAAAGAAACAGGGAAAAACGTACAAAGGTAGGATACCAATGGGAATAGTAACCGGCATCCCCGCCAAACACCACCAGAACCACTTCTTGTGATGGCCCTCTCTCTCCGTCGCCAGCTTGTGCAATATCCTCGGCACCTGTTCCGCCTTGATCAGTCCACCGGGATACACCACCTCTACTTTGTCCACATCCGCTTTCCCCCTCTTGCTGCCTCCCTTCTCCCCTGATTCCATCTCGAAATCTCCCTCCGCCTGCGCCTGTTGCTGTAACAAGGCCTCGAGTTGTCGTTGCCGCGACTTTGTCAAGGGTGGCATGCTCTTCAAGGCCCATTCTTCGTATGGCAGCTTCCTAAGCAATTGGTTTCCGTAGCTGGCGACGGCCTTTTGCCAGCCGGACTCCTTCTTTTCCCAGGAGGCCCAGGTGAGAGCTGCTTTGGTTTGGATGTAGTCGCCCCATGATTGCTTTTGTTTTGTTGTGGACGTAGAAGCGGACGATGGAGGCTGGAGCTTTTGGCAGTAGAGGAGGGTGCGCCGGGTGGAGATTGGGAGGAGGTAGATGCGCATTTTGAAGAGAAGGGTGGTTGCGCGTGATGGCGCGCGAGGTGGTGGGAAAGAAGTGGTGGTTCGAGTAGGTACTATGTATGCTAGTCGGCGCCAAGCTGGTGATGGTTTGTTTCGGTATCGAATTATGCACAAAGACGGCGGGATTTTGTAGTCTGCGATTATGTCTGACTCCCGTCTGTCGCCACCGCGTCCCAAGCGTCGCAATCGTGAGGCCTCTCTGTCCGGGCGCAGCAGCTTCGAAGGCAAATTGGAAGCAGAACTGGCTGTGAAGTGGGATCCAATGGCCGGGATGTCGATGGGTATAAAGTGACTGCCTGGTCCCAACAAAAACTTCGGAGGGGCGCTAATGGTGAAACTCCAACAGTAAACTAACGGAGGGATTGGATGTTGAGGTTCGTGAGAAGTAAGTTGCTCGTCAGTTAGAATTGAATTGAATATGTTCCTGGATTGGGTTACATTTTTTTGGTGAGTGGATGGTTCAGTCTGTGAAGCTAGCGCGGGAAAGAAACAGTGACGCAATGGGAGGCCCGGCAGGCAGACGGGAGGTATTGCAGACTGTCGTCGGGATGGGCCTAGAACCCACCGGCCCGACAGCGAGAGGACGGGCCGTCCGAGTGTCACGGCAGAAATGGCATTCAGCCCAACGTTGTCCGATTTTCTAATGTTTTGTACCTCTGTAATTGAAACCTTTGTACCGGGTTACGTGATTCAACCTGATAAGCTTCTTGACAAAGTCTGTTTGACCGACACTCCTATCACAATGTCCCTGTTTTAGAGGGATCCCAGTTTTTCTGGAGATTGTATCTCGTCATCTCCAGAAGGACTGTCCTTGGCTAAAGCCTCAAAGAAAAAAAAGATAGGTCAGCCAAGGTCACTCTGATATGTATCTCGGGTATCGTTTGATACATGAAGGGATTCCCAGATGCCCTACTGCTGCACGACACGTCCCCTCTGCACGCAGGCACGTGTCAAGACACTGATCTGGTCGGGAAATGGGAAACGGGAAACCAACGGGCCCCTCCACGCACCCCGGTTTTTCTGTCCCCTGAACCAGACGCAGTGTCGTCATTGCTGTTCCTGAGCGGTTCGCTAGTGGGGGCGGCAGGGAATAGCCGGGGGCTGCAGGCTTAGAAGGCTCTGCACTAACACGCGCACTAACAGAGATGCCCACAAAACCAAGGCAGTCCAGGCCGGCCGGCGTTTCCTTGTTACCTCTAGGTACCTACCTCTAGGGGCCTGGGGGCGTCAAAGCGCAGCCCCTGGGCTCAAGTTCAGTTGTGCTGCAACCATCCCATCGGCTCCCTTTCTGGGCGTCACCTCACACCCCATCATCCGACCTTCAGCAGCCGCCGGAGGGGACCAGGGGCAGGCCAGAAGGCAGGGCAGGGACAAGGGCAGCCCCTGGGGAGCCAAGCAGGGAGATTGGATCACGGCAACTAACAAGCAGGAAAACCGGGCTGTTGTAAAGAGACGTCCTTTCCCCAGCCATTTCCACATTTTGAAAGACTTTCCCCCTCTTCATCTTCATCGATCCGTGCTCAGTGGAGGTCAGGTTCCTGTGCCCTTTTCCCATCCCATCTCGTTGGGACCGACCGATAAGGACGGGACCTCTTGCGGCCATTGACGGAAACAAAAGGTTGACGCCCTGCGACAAAACACCCCCTAGTCGACTAACCCCCCGACGAGACCTGGAATCGCCAACAGGAACGAAGAACGGATCGGGACTTGTGCAAAGTGGAAGTGGAATGCCAGGAGATTGAAGCATCTTGACCTATCACTAACATCAATTGCTAAACCACACCGCTATGCACCGCCACTGGCACTACCACTTCCATCCCACGCCAACTCTTCGTCCTCCAGTTCCTCCTCGCCTTTTGGGGTTTCAATCCGTTGCCCTCCGATAGCTGAGTGATAGAAAGACGGATCATCTTGTCGCCAATTCCCGTCTCTGATGCGCGGCTGCTGCTGCCGCTGAGGTGCCCGGCCACTCCGATAACCTGAGGGGTGCAGTAACCTGACCCACCCCACCTACAATAATACCTCTGCGGCCGATCCGGAGTGACTTCGACTGCACATCCCGAGCTACCTCTACCCATCATCACGTCAACACTACTACTTACTACTACAACTTTATCCATTACGACTGGAACATCCGAGACTCTAGTTCCAAGCCGCCCGCCATCAGCCACCCCCAACGGGCTCGGCAAACAACAAACAAAAAAAGTAGTGTTGAGTGCCAGCATGACGGCCGCGAATCCGTCTCCTCCACGCTCGAACCAGTCCACTCCTTCTTCCGATAACACCGATGGTGACACATTGCTTCCTCCTTTGCGTCCCAAGACAAGGACGTTGCCTCGTATGGACCCCCCACCCGACATCAACTTCCCAGCATCATCGTTCTCGCAATAATGAGTCAGAATATGTGGTTCTGTTGTTCCGAATTCTAACCCGTGTCATGTAGCATGGATCGACTCGTATGAAGAGAGATATGGACAACCGTCCACCGGCCAGGGGGGAATCTTGAACCGACCACCCCCACGCACAGTCCAGCCACAACACAACGGCACGCCAACCGAACCACGAAGGGTATCAAAAGATGGATTTGTGTACGAACCAGATGGGCTGGAGCGAAGGAACGATTCCAAGATGAAACTGCGGCGGATTCTGAGACGCGGGGACGGCATGGAGCGCGGCCGGAAATGGGACCACCTCCGAACGGACGAACCCGTCATTCTCCACCGGAATGCGCACTACACGTCCAACTCGCCCTGGTCCGAATTCATCCACTCGTCGCAGTGGGGCCACATGCCGAATGAGCAGTCGGAAGTGGTCGACTACCAAACACTCGAGAAGCTGCAACCAAACTTGAATCTACCCGTGCACCTGCCCGAACCCGAAGACGTTTACAAGTCTCGCACCGGGAGGAGGTCGGCCTTGTACAAGCGGCTATGGCAGCACGTCCTCCGCCATCCCTTGGTGCCGTTACTCTTCCGGTCCCTCGTCCTCATCACCTCCATCTGTGCCCTTGCCCTTGCGATTCGTATCTACCAGCTCGAAGGTCGGCGGCGCTCCAACCAGCAAGAACTACAGAATCAGATTCTCGCTCGATTACGAGCACTGCATTCAGCCTCCAATTCCGAAGGATACGTCGACCAAGAGCTTTCCCTAATAAGACAGATCTCGCCCGGGTCGTCAGAGCGGACTCAAGCGATAGTGGCGATTGCGGTGGACACGATAGCGATTCCTTATATCGGGTACATGCTCTGGGACGAATACACGGGTCGCCCATTGGGGCTAAGGCCAGTGACGCAGAAGAGCGGGTTGGTGCTGATGGATGTGTTTTTCATCGTGTTCAAGGCTGCCAGCACGGCGTTGGCGTACGAGGTGTTGGTTTATCATAACAGTCAAGATCGCTTCACGGACCATTTCAGCCAGGCACTGGCCGCGTTTCAGCTGATTGGGCTATTTTTCTGGTTGACCAACTTCACGGTTAATGTTTTTAGGCTGGTAGTGAAGCTGGGAGGCGGAGACGATTTGGAGACTCAGAGGGGGAGGTGACGACGATTATAATGGGCGGTAAAGCCCGGAAGGATATTGAGAGGGAAAGAAAAACAAAGCGGGGGAGATGAATAACGACGAACGTCTCAGTCCCGCATGGTAGCATACTTACTTGCATTTTCTCGTACTTTGTCGATACCTCAGCACGGTTCTGCCTCCGTGTTTATTGGGTGGGGTTTTTGGATTAGCAGATTAGCATACAGCGGTAACAAATAGTGTTTGATCAGTTGGTGGTGTTGGTGATGTTGATATTAGCAAGGATGGTGATGATTATTACTCGATTGTGTATGCGTTATGAGACATGAAAAGGGGAACGGATAGCGAAAGATTTGGTGTAAGGAGATATCATATTGCCTGCCGTGAGCTTCCAGCAGGAAAATACATGTAGTTTAATCGAATTCTAACCACAAATGGTGTCTTCCTCTAGCACTAACGGTTAAAGGAATTGTAAACGGCTGACATACCTCTACCTACAAGTAGCTAGCTACAGCGTTGTCACTGTCCTGCTTTCCCGTACGTAAAGTACCCCGTCAGTTGTACATGGGTGCCATTCCCACATGTACAGACTTTGGTCCGAGTCACAATATTTACCTTGAAAAGGAACATGGTATTATATCAACATACGGTACATACTTGCACCAGATCTGTTAGCCGCCAATGTTAGAGGTACCGGTAATGACGGAATGTACACTAGATGCCCGGTCGCCCGTCCCGCATCGCAGGGCATCGTCTCCATCCCCGCCACTTTGTCGGTTCCCCACAATTTTGCGTGTTCGCGGTGGTCTTTTACTGGCGGGGGGCCACTGCCTGCCTTAACTGTCTGCTTGCTGTCAGTGTCAATCGATGCCTGCCACGCCGCTGCAGCCTGAAAACCGTCAACGAACGACGGCATCGCTCTATCATCCGGGCATCGACCACGGCAGCAGCAGCAGCAGCCTCGGGGGGCCAATCTGGAAACTGGAAACTCCACTCTTCAACTTGATTGCCTACAGAATAGAACATTGAAACCTGTCAGAACACCACCACCACAACAACCAGCCAAGGTACCTACCTCTACACCTCACCTCTAGGCTGCGACCTCACACCCGTCACTCCAAGGGAACAATCCTTCCTTCACCCGACCCGATTTCCGATTAACCCGTCTGTCTGCTCACGGTCACGGTCCTTCTCCCAACCGACACCGACGTGGTGACCCCCGCCATCCATCCGACCTTCCAGACCTGTGGCGCGCCTCATCGCTCAGGACGAACTTCTACTTCTACTCCTCTGGTTGTCACCCAGTCCATTCACCCTTCGTCACCGGTCAGGTCGCAGACAACGCGCTTCCAACCTCAAGAACGACCGGTCGCCCAGATCAAACTCGTTCTTGCCCCCCGACAGTCTCTGGACGAACACACGCGACCCAACACGACCTGGTCAGCTTGAGTTTTCTGACGGATTACGCCCCTCGTCCACCACCACTTGTCAGCCGGCATATTATTCCCAACATCGCATTCTTTCTTCGATTCCCGGCGCACGATCGCTCTTCAAACGAACACACATATAGACACAACAAACATGCCTCCGGCAACCATGATGACGGGGGCGTACGGGCAGCAGCCTTCTGGCAGTGATGGTATCGACAGCACGTATGTTTTCGCTCACTTCGCTGCTGGCCCCTCTGCCTCCAAACAGCCGTACTGACCTTCTGCCATCAGTTGGCCATACTTGCAGTCTAGTATTAACAAGATCATGACCAACCTCCAAGAAGGCCTCGACATGAGTAGTGTATGTTTGTTCCCCGCCCATCCGTCCACGTTACCCCCCGCTAACACACGCTGTTTGTAGTACATGGGAATCTACACGTTAGTTGGACGGATGCCCTCTATATCTATGCATTCCTTCAACTTGGTACTAACTCGGGCATAGGGCGGTGCACAACTTTTGCACATCGCAAAAGGCTAACGGCGGTAGCAGCAGTCCGAGTAATCACCTTCCGGGAATCGGGGCCCAGAGAGGGGGTATGTTGTCTTCCCTGCGTTTTGCCCGATGAACAGATGAGCAAGAGGACTAACATGCACCAGCCCATCTGCTTGGTGAGGACTTGTATAAGAAGCTGGCCAACTACCTGACAGACCACCTTAAGCACCTGGTCTCTGAAGCGGAGGCTCACAAGGACGAGGCCTTGTTGGCCTTTTACATTCGCGAATGGCAACGCTACACCAACGCCGCCAAGTATATCCACCATCTTTTCAAATACCTGAACCGACACTGGGTTAAGCGCGAGATGGACGAAGGGAAAAAGAACATCTACGACGTCTACACGCTCCACCTTGTTCAGTGGCGTGACGTGTTGTTCCAAGCCGTCTCTAAGAAAGTTATGGACGCCGTTCTCAAGCTAGTGGAAAGGCAACGCCTCGGTGAAACCATCGAGTACACCCAGATCAAACAGGTGGTCGATAGCTTCGTCTCACTCGGCATGGACGAGGGTGACAACACCAAGACGACGCTGGAAGTGTACAGGTACCACTTCGAAAGACCATTCCTGGAGGCGACCAAGGTCTTCTACCAAAACGAAAGCAAACAGTTTGTGGCTGAAAATAGCGTTGTCGAGTACATGAAGAAGGCCGAGGCTCGCCTGGCTGAGGAGGAGGAGCGCGTACGCATGTATCTTCATCCAGATATTGCCCTACATCTGAAGAAGACTTGCAACCAGGCCCTCATCGCGGAGCACTCTACCCTGTTGCGTGACGAGTTCCAGGCCCTGCTGGACAACAACCGAGAGGACGACATGAGACGGATGTATAGCCTCTTGTCTCGCATTCCCGACGGTCTGGAGCCTCTGCGGACTCGTTTCGAGGCCCATGTTCGCAAGGCTGGTTTGGCGGCTGTTGCCAAGGTGGCTGCAGACGCCGACAAGCTGGAGCCCAAGGTCTACGTCGACGCTCTGCTTGAGATCCACACTCAGTACCAGGGGCTAGTTGAGCGCGCTTTCAACAAGGAGCCTGACTTCACGAGATCTCTAGACAACGCCTGCAAGGAATTCGTGAACAGGAACGAGGTCTGCAAATCGGGCTCCAACAAGTCACCGGAACTGCTGGCCAAGTACACGGACGTGCTTCTCCGCAAGAGCAGCACCGGCGTGGAGGAGGCGGAGCTCGAGAACACGCTGACGCAGATTATGACTGTATTCAAGTACATCCAGGACAAGGACGTGTTTCAGAAGTTCTACTCACGCATGCTGGCGCGCCGCCTCGTACACAGCAACTCCAACTCGGACGACGCCGAGACCTCGATGATTTCCAAGCTCAAGGAGGCCTGCGGCTTCGAATACACCAACAAGTTGCAGCGCATGTTCCAGGACATGCAGATCTCCAAGGATCTCAACACAGGCTTCAAGGAGCACGTCGCCTCCCTCAACATGGACGGCAAGCCGCTCGACTCGACGTACTCTATCCTCGGCACCGGTTTCTGGCCGCTCGTACCGCCAAACACCAGCTTTGTTGCGCCCGCCGAGATCTCGGCCGACTGCGATCGGTTCACCCGCTTCTACAAGAACAAGCACGAAGGCCGCAAGCTCACTTGGCTGTGGCAGCTGTGCAAGGGCGACATCAAGGCGAACTATATGAAGGGCGCTAAGATGCCCTATATCTTTAGCGTGTCGGCGTACCAGATGGCCATTCTACTGCTTTTCAACGAGAAGGACCAGTACACGTTCGAGGAGCTTGCGAGCATCACTCAACTTAACGCGGACGTGCTTGAAGGCGCCTTAGGCATATTGGTCAAGGCCAAGGTTCTTACCGCGGAGGGTGGAGAAGGTGGCAAGATTGGACCGGGAGCGACGTTTTCGCTCAACTACGACTTCAAGAACAAGAAGTATCGCATCAATTTGAATGTGGGCATGAAGAGTGAGACCAAGCAGGAGGAGGCGGAGACGAACAAGACGATTGAGGAGGATCGCAAGTTGTTGTTGCAGGTGTGTGACCCCCTACACCCAGTAAGCATGTTGACCAGAAAGCTAACGCAGAAACCACAGTCCGCTATCGTCCGTATTATGAAGGCGCGCAAGAAGATGAAGCACCAGCAACTTGTCTCGGAAACCATCAACCAGATCAAGGCCCGATTCATGCCCAAGATTGGCGACATCAAGAAGTGCATTGAGATCTTGCTCGATAAAGAGTACTTGGAGCGGTTGGAGGATGATGAGCTTGGGTATCTTGCCTGAGTGTTCTCTGATTTTAGTGATGGAACTTACCAACGTGGAAGTCTGGGTACTGAAGCGGTTATCATCCGAAGAAACTACGTGCGGGGTCAACAAATCAACAATGAACAAGCGGAAAAAGTACGAATTAACTAGCCTCGATAGAATTCACACATATCGGTATTGAACAACCAGCGTGCTTTGTTTGTTAGTTTGTGATCTCAAGCGAGAGAGAGGGTGTGCTGGAAGGTTGAAGAAGTTGAGAAGAAGAAGAATAGAGATTAGCAGAAGGATTTGGGAAAGGGAAGGACAAAGAGTTAATGACGAATACCATTACAGATCAGACATACTTAACTATACCTGACTATTTGTTCTTGCTGGCTGGAGTGAGGTAGTGACAAAATGGATAGGAGAATTCACTTCACCCTCCCCCCAACCAGCACCACCAAACCAGGCTATTTTTTCTGGAAATTTGGACTCGAGGAAGGAAACGAACCTTTGTGGTTGATACACTACCTAACTAACCAGTAACTGGCAGCTAAGCATAATTGAAACTGTCTGTCCCTGTGCTGCAACTCGACGAGAACTGACTGGGTGGATTTCCAAGGTAGGAAATTACTAGCAAGATAGTTGGACGACATGTTTAATACATGTACCAGATTTGTTTAACAAAACAACTTATAGTAACTATGGTAACTGCCCCTTGGTGAGCGCTGTTGGGTGTTGGGTGTTGGGTACCTATTTATCATCGGGTGGGAGTCGGTTGCTGTGTTACTACCTAGCGTAGGTAGGTAGGTAGGTATCTAATTAGAGTCTCCATGTTACAGTAGAGGTAAGTATCAGTGGCATACATACTACATAGGTAGGTACTAAGTTATGTAATCCTTTTTTTGTCCTTCCTTCCGTCCTTCCTTCTTCCCTTCCTCTCTCTTTTTTACTCGGACGGACGGGATCTTTTCCGCCCGCTGTATTCCATGGGTCAGTCAGTCAGTCAGTCAGTCAGTCAGTCAGTCAGTCAGTCAGTTACCTAGTGTAGTGTTTTCTC